TGTCCCTGCCCAGCTGGGGTTGGAACTGGCTGATCTTTAAGGTCCTTTCCAACCCAAACCAGTCTGGGCTGTAGGAATTCAGCCTGGCCTCCATCCATTCTCATGCATTCATTTCTCACTGCCTCATCTCTGTGAGGAGGAAAAATTGGGGAAAAAAAGGAGGAAAAAATGTAAACTCAGAGCACCCTGCTCCAGTGGGATCTGACCCAGCTGGAGTTGGAACTGAGTGATCTTTAAGGTCTTTTCCAACCCAAACCAGTTTGAGATTGTGGGAATTCAGCCTGGCCTCTGCAGAGCACCCATTGCTCACAGCCTCAGCTCTGTGAGGAGGAAAAACTGGGGACAAAAAGGAGGAAAAATTGAAAAAAATACAATTGTGGCATTTCCATGAGGGCAGCACTTCCCCTGCAGGGATGGGGTGGCTGCAGCAGAACCAGGATTTATCCAGATGTGCCTCCAGGGACCTGGGAAATAAAACAGGAATTAAAAGATGCCACTCACACACGTAGTGATATGTTGGGACTTTAAAATTTATTCCAACATGCTGTTTTTTTAAAAATACGCCCAGACCGAGCAGACAATCTGAGCTGTAGTAAAGGCAATATTATACTTGTAAAAACTTCTCATTCACAGTACAGATGTCATTTACAATAAGGGTCACAAACATCAAATACTGAGTATTTTTCTTTTTTTTTTTTTGTTTTCTTGTTTTTTGTGTGTTTTTTGTTCAGTTTTTTTGTTGTTTTTACATCAGACTGTGCTTTTTACCTGCATTTTTTTTTTTGCACTGATATAACCATACAGACATTGCAAGATGCAAGTGTAGAAACTGGAGTTCAAATAAAATTACAGGCAAAACTACCAAATTCCATTGGACGCTGTACATATTTACAGTACCATTTTTTGGAATGTATTGCCATTTTAAGAACATATAGAAACTTTCTACAGACTATTCCACTTACAGAATACATACACCTTTTAGAAAAAAAGGCAAATATTTATCTTACATGAGACCATGTATATTAAATTTGCGTACACCTTATTATTATTATTATTTATTATTATTAATTATTTTTTACATTACATTTACTAAAGTGATCGTAAGTGCCATCATATCTCAGTAATGAAAACAGATTGGTTTTATGCCATCAGGATTGATGTTTTTTAGTTTATTTTTTTTCTTTTTTTTCTCTTTTTTTTCTGTTTTTTGTAAATAACTTACAATATGGTTTTATTTGTAAATACTGTGCAATAGACAGAAATGTTAAAAGGAAAGGAAAGAAAAAAAGCAGATGATTAACAGAGGAAAAGCAAGGGGAGCAGGGAAGGGCTAGATCAAATCCTGGAGGATTTTGCATGGAAATTGGGACAATTTGAATGATTTCTCCAAGGATATTGCTTGTTCAGGTGCTGTTCCTGTGGATTTTGGACAAAACCCGAGGCAGGGAAAGCTGCAGATTTGTTGGGCAGGGAGAGGCAGAGCCCCAGCCCCGGCAGGAGGGATTTGGGATGTTCTGGGTGGGAATTACCTGCCCTGCCCCAGCAGGACTGGACTGGATTTGGGATCAGAGCAGAGTTTGGGACTGCTGGGACATCAGGGACACCAGGGCTGGGATGTCACCCTTGGGAGCAGGTGAGGAACTGCATTTCTCAGTGGGAAGCTGGACATTCACAGCTGTTTCATTATGGGTTTTTTCCCTGCTGCAGCTCCTGGGTATCCAGACGAGGAGCTGGCAATAATCTGAGGTGGCAGAGCTCTGCCTCGGTTTTGGGGAGCCCTCTCCTCATCTCATGGTCTGCTCAAGACCCCAAGCTCAATTTAGGAGCTAAATCCCTGCTCCAGCACAAAGGAGTTGCTGAAACTCCAGAAGTGCTCAAGATTAAGGTCCAGGAGCTTTCTGAGCTCTGGATGTCAGTCCTGGTATAGGAACACAGGCAGGGAGTGATCCCAGAGCTTGGGCCAAGTCCTCTGTGTGCAGGAGGAATTCTGGCTCCAGAGCATTCCTGTGTGATCCAGGAGCTGCATGGATGGGAGCCACCCAAACAGCTCAGCAGGGTGAAATATCTGTGAAAATAATCAGTGGAATATCCCCGTGGGATTGGGGCTGATGGAGCAGCCACACCACAGGAGCAGCCAGGCCGTGCCCTCATGGATTATAAATTGGAGAAGCTCTGCCATGAGTAAAGCAAGGGATTTTATTTCCACCTGCTGCTGAACAGGAAGGGCTGGGCTCTGCTTCTTCATCTACATTATTAATACATTCTCTGGTAAATTATCCCACTAATTGCTCTGCAAAGCCACCCTTGCAGCCCTTGTGGGAAGCAAAAAGGGATTTTCCATCCCTGATTTGCAGGCAGAACAGACATTCAGAGCAACACGAAAAGCTGTGACCAGCAATCAGCTCCCACCGAGGGGGACACAGGGGGACCAAAGGGGATCCGGCTGGGAACGGCAGCCACCGCTGAGGGCTGGGGGTGACACCCAGCCCTATAAAAACCCCGGGAGTGACATTGCTGTGCTGCTCGGCCGAGCAGGGGGCAGAGGGACACACTCGTGTGCCCGCAGCCAGAGATGCTGGTGCTGGTGCTGCGGGTCCCTCCCGCGGAGCTCTGAGCTGGCAGTGCGACCATTAGCCCTTAATTAGCAAGGAGTTATTTTTGGGGGGAGCCTTCTCGCCCCTTGGGTACAGCGTGAAGCACCATTTCACCCCAGCCAGAGAAGCCAAACTGGGTTGGGACTCAGATTTTTGTGCCCATCTCCTGAGTTTGCGGCGGTCCCTGCCTGCCCCGCTCCGCGGCTGCCGGGGATGGGGAGGGGATCCGGGCAGGGAATGTCCCCGGGAGCACCTCAGCCCTTTCCCAAACTCCTTTTCCTGGGTTATTTTTTGGCCCCGGGTGAAAAGATCTGGATGGCTACACACAAACTGCCCCGATGCTCCGCAGCTGAGATGCAGAAAGCTTCGAGCTGCTGGGAAAGCTTAAAAATCCTGATAATGACAATAATAAACCGCCACAACAACGACAACAAAATTATCAACAAACCAATGTAAGGACTTCAGGGTTTTCTTGGGCTTTTTTCCCTCCCCGTCTTTCCACAAAAGACAGAGGAGAAAAAAAAATCCACAGAAAATTTAAATAGATTAAAGATTGAAATGCAGTTACAGAAAGAAGCTGAGCAGATTTGATCTAGCCCAAAACTCACGGCAAATGCACCAAAAAACCAGACACAGCTGCTGCAGTACTTTCATGTACCATACATATATATATATATATATATATATATATGTAAAATTAAATACGAAAAGCTACCTTGGATCAAGTTAAGAGTGTGACAAGGGGCAGAAAGTGACCGAAATCAGGGAAATCTCTCGATTTCATGGGTGCTTTCCAGGGATGCTCACACCAGCCCCGGCCGAGCACTCCACTCCCACTCACCCCGGGATTAAGCGCGGATTAAGCACGCACTTAAAACCTGAGGAGGGTTTAAACTGGTACTTAAGAGCTCGAGTGAACAGAGCCGAGCTCCAGCCCCTGCTCTGCCTCTGAGAACAGGAGCAGCTTCCAGGCTCGGGGCCAAAAAAGGGGGAGATGGGAAAAAGGGAAACCTGATAAAAGTGCCAATTAGGGGATAAATGGGTTCTGGACGTTGTTTTGGTCAGTGTCACAGCCTTAATGATATTTCCATGATATCTTTTTTTTTTTTTT